ACACACACACACCTGCATGCACAGAAGGAGAGGATAACATGTTTGAGATCTTCAGTCCTTTAGGTAGTGAAGCCTCTGAAAGAAGAAGCTGGCAATAAATAAAAGCTAAAGCTACTTAGTAAATATGTATTGTATCATCATTCGGAATATTCTAGCTCTTGGTGCACTTTCAGTGTATGAATTCACCCATGAGGAGCTCTGAGGCTGGGAAAGTTGGCAATGTGTTGGTAACTGGTCCTAGAAATAATCTCAAAACTCACTTTCTTATATTTTTATCTCTAATATAAGATGATATTTCTTTTGATTTGAGGCTCTTCTTGAACTGTAAGTTCCAACAATCTTTCGTTAAACAGACTTCATTCACATTCTGAATCTGGTTTTTGTCTCACACATATTAAATTTTACAAAACAGAAAGAAACAATAGAGCTTATTAGGAAAAACTTGTTTTGAATAGTAAATTAAGCATAATGGAAATAGGCACACATTTTAGCATGCTCCCCCCTTTTTTACCAATTGAACATTTACATCTTTTTCAATGCTGTGATTTTCCCCTTAAGTCTTAAGCTGGCACCACACACTTTCAACAAATCAGACTTAAATCATTTGTATCTACCCAGAAAAATCATTGTAACACTGTGGATCCAAATGCACCAACAGCCTTCTGAAAAGAGTTTTAGGCAGTCACCCCTAAAATGCACTAATCAAATCATTGTGGTGTTCTATGAATCCAAAGAATTACCTAATTTCAAAGACTGTAAATCAACTGTCAGCTCTGACTGGTTTCCCATTATGCCCTGTTTCCTGAGACAAGAATCCTGTAAATTCAGTACACCTGACTACATGGTTGGTTATTAAGAGATATGCCCCAGGTGGAGGCATCTTCAAAGCCAATATATTTTCTTTATAACTGGTGTCAAATTGATGTATATATTAAAAAATCTTGGAAAATGATCTCAAAAAGGAAGTAACAGCCCAATGAGCCATATGTTCAGGGAACCTAACAGGTTTCCAGTGGGACCAAATTTCACTTCACCTTTTTGTCCTTATGTGCAAATAAAAACTTATCTGTAAAATACACCGTTACAACAGTCAAGCACATATGTGAGGTCTACAGAATGAGAAAAAATTACATTAAGACCATAAAAACCAAGTTGTTGGATGGCAATGAATTTTGTTAGATGTTAAAAATGCATATGGAATTGAGCTAAGTTTATCTGAATTCCATAGGTCTATGGTTTCAGATGTTACTTCTATAGAACTGGTTAAGGAAAAGGCTGATGAATAGTTAATAAATTGCTGAACTTTGATGTTGATGAAGCATTTGAATCTGAAGTCAATAAATCTAAAGATATTTTTTTTCTTGCTATTAGGTAGGTTGCTGTTTTAACAGATTCAGACATCCAGTAATTTTTCTAATGCCAGTTATTATTCTAGTACTGAAAAGTCTGTGATGTGTTAAGGCAGAAACCTGGTTAGTGGTTTTTCAAAGAATAGATATTGAAAAGTCTTAGTGTTTATATAACCTATGAATTTTCATTTAAAAATTTTTTAGGTTTGGTATTTAGTAGATTCTAAAAGTTTTTCATTCAGCTTCTCTATTGTTTGCTTGGGTATAGTCTACAGAAAATGATGGACAAAGTCACTCTGTACACTTGTATAGTTTTCACATGGTCAGGACCAATGATAACAACAGTACTAAGATTTATTAATTTTACTTTGCATTTATATATTTTTAAATGAAATATTACCAACAGAAGGGCAGAGAGAATAATATAAACTAGACCCTTATGTGTGGCTGACCCTTATTAAATCTTCACAGGTGATTTTGATTTTTAAAATATAAGTGTGTAAAGTTATGCAAAGTGTAAGAAAAAATTATACTGCACAGATTATCTTTCAGCTACTCTCATCTTCCCTTTTATGGTTGGAGGTAGTTTAGGCACCTGGTTAGCTAAATAGCATGGGCAATTCAGAAGAAACTGCATTCTCATTCACTCCAAATTCATACTGACTCTCTGTAACTGGGTCCCACTGAACCCACTTAAATCAAAAGGCCAACGGACTTTACTCTCTAAGGGTCGTTTATGTAAATCTGTAGGAGTAAAAATATTCTAATAGTAGCAATAAAAGTGATTTTTAAGCTCAACAATCAGCTTTCAAACTCAAAAAGCAGGTTGCAACCTCCGCAGGTATGGACGACCTCTTAGAGCGCAGACTCCAGTTCGGGTAGGTTCTAGGCCAGGAGGCAGCCACAAGCCACTCTGGGCCCAGGCCCGGGTCAGTGAGCACCCTCGCCTCCGGCCTCCTGGGCCCCCACGGCCCGAAGGGCCAGCTCCGGGGTGCAGGCGGCCCTCAGGCCCTGGGGGCCGTGCTCAGCGGTCAGGCGCTGGGCCCGCCGCGCACCAGGGCCTTCTCCGCGCTGGCGGAGCAGGGCGCCGGGCGTGGGGGAGGGGG